AGTCCTTTTCTAATTTTCTTCCTAGATAGTCATTAGAGTTCTTTTCATAATTTTCTCATTTTCTTTTACAAATTTATCTATTTAGATTTAAAATTGGCTCGTCAGTAGTGTCCTTTTTCTATTTTCCTGTCAAAAATATTTAATTTACTCGTCAATAGAGTCCTTTTTCTATTTTTCTGTCAAAAATATTTAATTTGCTCGTCAGTAGAGTCTCTTTTTATTAATTTCTAGATTTTTTTTAATAATTTGCTCGTCTGTAAAGTCCCTTTTTTATTTTCTACAATTTTTCTTAATTTGCTTGTCAGTAGAGTCTTTTATCTAATTTTTTGTCAAAAAATATAATTTGGTCGTCAGTAGAGTCCCTTTGTCTAATTTTTTATCTAGATTTATAATTTGTTCGTCAGTAGAGTCCCTTTTCTAATTTTCCATCTAGATCTTTAGTTTGCTCGTCAGTAGAGTCACTTTTCTAATTTTCCATCTAGATTTATAATTTGCTCGTCAGTAGAGTCCCTATTCTAATTTTTCATCTAGATTTATAATTTGCTCGTCAGTAGAGTCACTTTTCTAATTTTCTGTCTAGATATTCAGTTTGCTCGTCAGTAGAGTTCCTTTTCTAACTTGATTTAGTATGTTCATTAGGACCATCAAATACTCTATCGTTATATCAAGTAAATCGTCTAGTTTAAATTTTAACTAGTAGTGTATGGCATCGTGCCTTAAGACAAATTGCTGGAACTTCCCGTACCGTAACAAAACATTAACAACCGTCATTTCACTTCGAATTCATTTACAAAAAAATAGTTTAGTTGCCTAATTTACACAAAATTTAAAAAGTGCTCCCGTACAGTCACAGTCTAAACGCACTTGCAAATAATTCCGTGCGACGTATTCACTTGTACTGTGCTTAGCTTGGCGGCATTTTCACATTTTTCAATAGTTAGTTTATTATTATTGATTACGGCTTGCTTATGAATAAATACATCAATGCCATTTTTAAGTAAAAATTACGAAAATTAACCAGGCTAAGCACAGTCTCAGTGACGACCTAGTACAGATGTTTTTGCAAGTGCGTTTAGATTGTGACTTTACGGGAGCACTTTTCAAATTTTATGTAAATTATAAAAATGTATATATGAAAGTTTTAAAAAAATCGAAAAATGAACCATACTAGGCACAGTCTAAGTGACAACGCGGTACAAATGTTTTTATGAGTGCGTTTAGAACGTGACGGTACGGGTGCACTTTTTCAATTGTGAGAAAATTATTGAAAAAAAATCAAAAAATGATCCAAACCTATGCACAGTCTAAATAACGACCTGGTACTGTACTGGAGCAGTTTTCAAATTTTATATAAATTATTTATAAAAATTACATTTTGAGTTAAAAAATAAAACTAGTGGAGTATGGCATCGTGTCTTAAGGCAAATTGCTGGAACTTTCCGTACCGTAATGTTCGAGAAATTTTAAACGTTTTCAAATATATTATTACTTATCATCTTTTTCTTAGTTTCTTGATTGTTTCATAGTTTGCTAGTGGGTAGAGTTCCTTCTTTATATTCGAGATTAATTTATCATTTGTTCATCAGTAGAGTCCCATTTTAAGTTTCAAATTGCTAATTAGTAGAGTCACAAAAAAATAAATAAAAAAGAAGCTACAAATGAGCAAAGTATAAATAATGATGCGAATTATTACTCTACTTATTTTGATCGTAAGTAAAGTCCTTTTGTTTCTCTTTCTCTGTTTTTGTGTCAGTAGAGTTTTTAAGCATTTTTTTTTTAATTTTCTGTGTTACAATAGTTCCTTTTCATCTTATTGTAGAGTCCTTTTGTATGGATGAAGTATTTAAAAAAGAAAAAAATCACTTTCAAATATTTTTATATTTAAAAGAATTAAATTCAAGCGATATTATATATTGTTCAAATGTATGCGATTTTGTATTCCAGGAGATGTTAACCATGTAGTGCAACCAAATCTGTGTTTAAAAATTGACCAACATAGTCTACCAGATCTCTGTGGTGTTGATCACAGAAAAGTAAATGTTTTTAACCAAGTGGAGTCACTAAATCTTGGTCTCGGTGACAATTTAGCATCACCAGATTATCAAAATCTTTACCCAAAGACAATATTTGATCACCTAAAGATGGATCTACCAAATTTTGACCAAGAAAATCCACAAAACTATTTAAAAATTGACCAGAAAACTCTCCCTGATCATCCAGGGTCAGCAAGTTTGATTTTTGCATCACCAGATCATCAAAATTATCACCAAAATGTATCACGTGATCATCTAAAATTTCAAAACCATCTACAAATTGACCAACATGGTCTACCATATTGTCCAGAGTCAGAAAATCTCTTTGTTACATCACCTGATAGTCAAAATCCAAAATTTGACCAAGAGCCTCCAAAATTTGACCAAGAGCATGGAAGATTTGACCTAGAGCCTCTAAAATTTGACAAAGAGCCTCTGAAATTTGACAAAGAGCCTTTAAAGTTTGATCAAGAACCTCCAATAATTGAACCTCTAAAATTTAAATCAGAGCCTCCAAAATTTTACCAAGAGCCTCCAAGATTTGACCAAGAACATGCAAAATATGACCAAGAATCTCTAAAGTTCAAACCAGAGCCTCCAAAATTTGACCAAGTGCCTCCAGAATTTGACCAAAAGCCTGCAAAATTTGACCAAGAGCCTCCAAAATTTGACCAAGTGCCTCCAAGATTTGACCCGGTGCCTTCAAGTTTTGACCAAAAGCCTCCAAAATGTGACCAAGTGGCTCCCAAATGTGACCAAGTGGCTCCAAAATGTGACCAAGTGCTTCTAAAATTTCAATTAGAGTCTCAAGAATTTGATCAAAAGCATCTAAGATTTGACCAACAACCTCTAAGATTTGGCAAAGAGCCTTCGAGATTTGAGCCAGGACCTCCAAGATTTGACCAAGAGCCTCCAAGTTTTGACCAAGAGCCTCCAAGTTTTGACCAAGAGCCTCCAAGTTTTGACCAAGAGCCTCCAAGTTTTGACCAAGAGCCTCCAAGATTTGACCAAGAACCTCCAAGATTTGACCAAGAACCTCCAAGATTTGACCAAGAACCTCCAAGATTTGACCAAGAACCTCCAAGATTTGACCAAGAACCTCCAAGATTTTACCAAGAACCTCCAAGATTTTACCAAGAGCCTCCAATATTTGATTCTCTAAAATTTAGGCCTCCACAATTTGAGACTCCACAATTTGAGCTTCCAAAATCTGTGTCTCCGAAATCTGTGCCTCTGAAATTTAAGTCTCCACAATTTGAATCTCTAAAACTTGAGCCTCTAAAATTTCAACCAGAGTCTCAAAAATTTTACTAAGGGCCTCCAAAATTTGACCAAGAGCCTCCAAAATTTGACCAAGAACATTCAAAATTTTACCAAGTGCCTCCAAAAACTGAGGCTCTAACATTTACACCAAAGCCTCCAAAGCCTGACCAAGAGCCTCCAGGATTTGACCAAGAGCCCACAAAATTTCACAAAGAACCTCCAAAATTTGATCAATGGCCTCCAAAAATTGACCAATGGCCTTCAAAAATTGATCAATTGCCTCCAAAATTTGATCAAGTGCCTCCAAAATTTGAGCCTTCAAAATTTCAACTAGAATCTAAAAACTTTGAACCAAAGCCTCAAAAATTTGACAAGGAGCCTCCGAGATTTGAGCCAGAGCCTCCAAGATTAGACCAAAGACCTGCAAAAATCAAACCAGAGCCTCCAAAATTTGATCAAGAGTTTGATTTTTCAAAATTTGATCAAGAGCCTCTAAAATTTGACCAAGAGTCTCTAAATTTTAAACCAGAGCCTCCAAAATTTGACCAGGAGCCTCCAACATATGGGCCAAAATTTAGCCAAGAGCCTCAAAAACTTGACAGAGTGCCTCCAAAATGTTATCAACAACATCCAAGATTTTACCAAGGGCCTCCACAATTTAAGCCTCCAAAACTTGAGCCTCTAAAATTTAGGTCCCTACCATTTGAACCTCCAAAATTTGAGCCTCCAAAATTTAAGTCCCTACAATTTGAGCCTCCAAAATTTGAACCGCAGCCTCCAAATTTCACAACAAACGCCAAAAATATCCTCCAAGACTTTTACAAATTCAAAAAAACCTACACCAACATCGAAAATTCATCTGATGGCGACACCTCCAAAACCACCAATGAAATATCTGCCAGGGACCAATTTTTGGCCAAAAAGAACAGTTTGTTGCGCTTTTTGGACGTACATGAAGCTCGATTGAAGCAAGATTTGGCAGAAAATTATAATGAAAGCCAAAATTTGGTAGAAAACAACCAAATTGGACATCAAAAATACCAAAATTTGGTGAAACTTAGTAACACCTACAAAATGGACGATCAAAAACTGGACAATACATTTGTGCAAGAATTTCAGGAGAATGATTACCAAAAATTCCAAAATTTGCTAGAAACTTGTCAGGAAAACAGCAAGGAAATGGATTATCAAAAATTGGACAAATTATTGAAACAAAAATTGGAAGAAAATGATTACCAAAAATTGCAAAATTTGGTAAAACCTTATCAAAAATTGGACAAACCATTTTTACCATGCTTGAAACAAGATTTGGCAACAAATGATGATGAAATTAGAAGTTTGGTTAAACCTTGTCAAAACATAAAGGAAATTGATAACCAAAATTTGGTAAAACCTTGTCAAAAATTGGACAAACTATCTTTAGACTCGCCTGAAACTTTCTCTTCTCAAAAATCGACACCAAATGATGACAGAATAAAAAAATTGGTTAAACCTCGTAAAATTGGTCATAATGATTATGGTACATTCCAAAATTTGGATACTTCTTATCAAAACATTAACCAAATTAATAACCAAAAATTGGATAAGCAAGATTTTGCACCAAACGATGAAAAAACTAAAAAATTGGTTAAACCTAACCAAATTGATTACCAAAAATTGGACAAACAAGATTTTGCACCAAACGAAGATAAAACTAAAAAATTGGTTAAACCTCCAAAAATTGGTGTAAATGGTTATGGAACATTCCAAAATTCGGAGACATCTTTCCAAAACTTAGATCACCAAAAATTGGACAAACAATTCACCAAAAATGATGATAAAACCAAAAATTTACCAAAATCTTGTCCAAAATTAAACGAAATCGATACCCAAAAAATAGATAACCAACTTGAAAAACGTAGTCAAAATTTTGATCACCAAAAATTGGACAAACAATTTCTAGAAAATGACACTAAAACCAAAAATTTACCAAAATCTTGGCAAAATTTAAATGATATTGATAACCAAAAAATAGGCAACCAACTTGAAAAATCTTGTCAAAATTTTGATCACCAAAAATTGGACAAACAATTCACCAAAAATGACACTAAAACCAAAAATTCACCAAAATCTTGTCCAAAATTAAATGATATAGATAACCAACTTGAAAAACCTAGTCAAAATTTCGATTACCAAAAATTACAAAACCTTTTTTTGGAAATGCATGAAGCCTATTCGAAACATGAATTGGCATCAAATGAAGCCAAATTTAATTTCGAAAAAAATTTGGGCAAATTTGTAGACGAGATTTTTCCGTCAACGGATGTACCTAAAGACCAAAAAAAATCGTCTACTAAGTTGGTGCAGGAATTTATTGAATTTTTCAAAAAAAAGCACGAAGAATCCCAAAATACGGAAATTAACCAAGTAGACTCTACTGACGAGCAAGTTGATGAAAAGGACTCTACTGACGAGCAAATTGATGAGGAAAATTTGGTTGAGCAGAATTGTTGCAATGAGCAGGATCAGCGAATGATGGTAAGTTTGAAGAATATATATTTTTTGTTGTTTTTTACTTTTTTGATTTTGCTCGTCAGTAGAGTCATTTTTAATTTATTTTCTAGGTTCAATTTGCTTGTCAGTAGAGTTCCTTTTTTACTTTTTTGATTTTGCTCGTCAGTATAGTACTTTTTCATTCTATTTTTTAGATTCAGTTTGCTCGTCAGTAGAGTCCTTTTGTGTAATATAGATGAAATTTGCTCGTCAGTAGAGTTCTTTTTTAACCTTTTCAGTTTGGTTGTCAGTAGAGTTGTATTTTTACGTTTTTCCTTTTTTTTATTCTATTTTGTTCGTCGGTAGAATCCTTTTTCTTTTGTTTTATTTTGCTTGTCAGCAGAGTCCTTTTTCATTATAGTTTTTAGAATCAGTTTGCTCGTCAATAGAGTCCCTTTTTTCTAGTTCTATTTTGTTCGTCAGTAGAGTTCCTTTTTTACTTTATTTAATTTGGCATCAGTAGAATTTATTTTGTTTTTCTTTCAGTTTACTCGTCAGTATAGCTCCTTTTTTGATTTTTTTCAGTTAGCTCGTCAGTAGAGTCCCTTTATTCTAGTTATATTTTGTTCGTTAGTAGAGTCCTTTTATTCTTTTATTCCAGTTTGCTTGTTAGTAAAGTCCTTTCATTACTTTTTCAATTTGCTCGTCAGTAGAGTTCATTTTCTTACATATTTAGTATGCTCGTCGGTTATTTTTATGGTTTGCTCGTCAGTAGAGTCCCTTTCTAATTATCTATTTGTGTATTTAGTTTTGCTCGTCAGTAGAGTTCCTTTTCATGTGTTTTTTTAATTTGCTTGTCAGTAGAATCCCTTTCTAGTGACCTATTTATATATTTAGTTTTGCTTTGTTTATTATATATAGTTCCTTTTTGTGATTTTTTTCAATTTGCTCGTCAGTAGAGTTCTTTTTTCTTAAATTACCATACACTTTATACGTTTATATTGTTTAATTCATTTTATGGTATAAATATAGTAACTTAATTTGATCGTCAGTAGAGTCCTTTTTGAATCTTGTAGATTGTAATTTTTTTTTTGAAGAATGAACTCTACTGACAAGCGAACTAACTAGCAAAAACCATTTCGCTTTTGAATATATTTTTGATTCTACTCGTCAGTAGAGTTTCTTTTTTGATCTTTTTTAGTTTACTCATCAGTAGAGTTTTAATTTATTTACTGCTACAGTTTGCTCGTCAGTAGAGTTCTTTATTGAATGTTTTCCATTTGTTCGTCAGTATAATTCTTTTTTTTTCTTTTTTTTAGTTTGCTCGTCAGTAGAGTGCACTTTTGTAATAATCTATCTAAATATTTATTTTGCTCGTCAGTAGAGTCTCTTTATTTTACCTTTTTTGTTAGTAGAGTCCCTTTCAGATTTTATATCTAAATAATTTTATTTTGCTTGTCAGTAGAGTTCCTTTGCAATATTGTCTGACCTAAACTAACATTTGTGTTTTATCTAGGTCCAGGAAGACGACCAAGAAATTGAAGATAAGATCTGTGCCCTTTTCAAAGAAAACACAACCAATTGGCGCAAATTGTTGAGCAGAGTCTACGTAGATCCAAATAGTAAGTAATTGTTCATTATCATCAAATTAATTTCAGTCAGTAGAGTTCTTTTTTCACTTTTTTTAGTTTGCTTGTCAGTAGACTCTTTTCCTAATTTTGTATCTTAATATTTAGTTATTATCATCAATGGAGACCATTTTTCTTCTAATTCAGTTTCGAAAAGACTCTACTGACGAACAAACTAGAATAAAGAACAAAGGGACTCTACTGACAAGCTTTGAAATTTAATGAGATAATTGAAAAGATACTTTTTAGTATTAAGTTATAATAATTATAATATGTTGCTCGCCAATAGAATCCCTTTATACGTAAATAATTGATTTGCCTGCCAGTAAAGTTACCATGCCACCTTTACTCGTATTCAATCTAAATATTTAACTTGCTCGTCAGTAGAGTCTGTTTCAATATTTTCTATTTAGTAGAGTCTTTTTATCATATTCTATCTGAAAAATTTATTTTGCTTGTCAGTAGAGTCCTATTACTTCACATTGCTCGTCAGTAGAATCCCTTTTTGAAATCCTATCTAGATATTTAATTTGCTCGTAAGCAAGTAGATTTTCTTTTGTCATATACTATATAATTATTTAATTTGCTCATCAATAGAGTCCCTTCTTTATTGTCTCTCTAATTTCTTTGATTTTCTAATCTGTAATTGTTCTTTTTAATGTGTAATCTTTCTTTCTAATGTAAAATATCTTTCTTTCTAATCTGTAATCCCTCTTTCTAATGTGTAATCTTCCTAAACTCTGTAATCTTTCTAATCTGTAATCTTCCGTTTTAATCCGTAATCCTTCTAATATCTTAAATCTCTAATTAACCTAGATATTTAATTTGCTCGTCAGTAGAGTCCTTTTATTTTACTTTGCTTGTCAGTAGAGTCCCTTTCTAATTTCTAAGTAAATATCTAATTTACTATCTAGATATTTAATTTGCTCGTCAGTAGAGTCCCTTCATTTTACTTTGCTTGTCAGTAAAGTCCCTCAATAATTTACTCTCTAATCTTTCTAATCTGTAATCTTTCTAATCTATTAAATCTTTAAAATACGACCTAGATATTTAATTTGCTCGTCAGTAGAGTCCCTTTTTAATTTTCTCTCTATTTTCTTTAATTTTCTAATCTGAAATCTTTCTTTCTAATCTGTAATCTTTCTAATCTGTGTAATATTTCTAATCTTGAATCTGTCTAATGTCTTTAATCTTTCTAATCTCAAAAATTTCTAATCTTTCTAATCTCAAATCTTTCTAATCTCAAATCTTTCTAATCTCAAATCTTTCTAATCTCAAATCTTTCTAATCTTAAATCTTTCTAATCTCAAATCTTTCTAATCTCAAAACTTTCTAATCTGTATTCTTTCTAATTTCAAACCTTTTTAATCTGTAATATTTGTAATCTCAAATCTTTCTAATATGCAATCTTTCTAACATCAAATCTTTCTAATATAAATTCTTTTTAATCACAAATCTGTCTAATCTGTAATATTTCTAATGTCTTTAATCTTTCTAATAAATATTTGTAATGCCTAATAAATTAAATCTTTTTAATCTCAAATCTTTCTAATTTCAAATCTTTCTAATCTGTGTAATCTTTCTAATTTCAAATGTTTTTAATTTGTAATTTTTCTAATCTCAAATCACTCTAATCTGTAATCTTTCTAATTTTAAATCTTTCTAATGTCTTCAATCTTTCTAATCTCAAATCTTTATAATCTGCAATCTTTCTAACTTAAAATATTTCTAAGCTCAAATCTTTCTAATCTCAAATCATCTGTAATCTCTCTTTCTAATCTATATTCTTTCTAATGTGTAATCTTTCTAATCTCAAATCTATGTAATCTTCCGAATCTAAAATCTTTCTAATATCAAATCTTTCTAATAAGTAATCAAATCTTTCTAATTAGTAATCAAATCTTTCTAATATGTAATCAAATCTTTCTAATCATGTCTATCTAATCTCAAATCTGTCTAACATCAAATCCAATTTAAAATCTTTCTAATCTCAAATCTATCTAATTACTTAAATCTTTAATTAACCGAGATATTTAATTTGCCGTCAGTAGAATCCTTTTAATTCACATTTCTCTCTTTCTAATCCCTTTCTAATTTACTCTCTAAACTCTTCAAATCTTTCTCATCCCTTTAAACAAATTCCTCACCTACACATTCACTTTACCCATCCTCATCCTTACAGTCCATTCCCCTTACACCTTTACCCCATCATCCCACTCCTCCATCCCATATCACCATCTCTTTCCCTCTCACCCAACACCATATAATCCATCCTCTTTCATCCCATTTCAGCCCACAACCAAAACTCTCACCGCCGCCGACCGAACCGTCGCCTCTATCCAATCGAGGAAGAAGAATCACCTTCTATTGACCTTGAAGAACAAGAACAACCCCGAATTGAGGCAGAGACGAGCCCTTGGGACTCTACTGACGAGCTAATTGATGGAAAAGGACTCTACTGACGAGGAAAGTGAATTATTTTCAAAGGGATGCAGATATTGTTATGTATGTTAATATGTGTATGTAATGTAATGTGTATGTTAATAATTTAGAAAGGGCCAGAAGGGCTAGGAGGGTTAGAATGGGTTTTAGAGGGCCGAATGCTATTGGTGATGGTGATGGTGATGGTGATGAGAATAAGAAAGTGGTTAAGAGAATGGGGTTGGACGAGCTTTGGGATGATTTTGGAATGTAATGGAAGGGTTGTTATTGGTGATGGTAATAAATGGTTATTTTGGTTAGTAAATTGTTTTTTTTTCTAGTTTTTTATGTGTATGTTTAATTTGCTTGACAGTAGAGTCCTTTTCCATTAAGATACTTAAGTAGAGTCAATTTATTTTACATTACAAATACAAAGTTTTTTTCTCGCTTTATATCTGATAAAATCTGTCAGTAGAGTCTTTTTATTTCAATTTGCTCGTCAGTAGAGTCTCTTTTCTATTTTTTTTATCTAGATATTCAGTGTGCGAGTCAGTAGAGTCCTTTTTATTATTTTGTATTTACTAGAGTTTTTTTTCTCATACTCTATTTTATTTTGCTCGTTAGTAAAGTTCATTTCTAGTTTTTTGTCTATATAATTAAATTTGCTCGTCAGTAGAGTCCCTTCTTTTAATTTTTATCTAAATATTTTAATTTGCTCGTCAGTAGAGTCCTTTTCCTAATTTTTTCTCTAAATATTTTATTTTGCTCGTCAGTAGAGTCCCTTTTCTATTTTCATCTAGATATTTAATTTGCTCGTCAGTAGAGTCCTTTTTTCTAATTTTTTCTCTAGATATTGTATTTGCTCGTCAGTAGAGTCCCTTAATTAACTATCTTGTTATTCATTTCATTAATTCATTAGTCAGTAGAGTCCTTATATGTCTGGATTTTTTAGCCTGTCAGTAGAATCCTTTCCCAATTTTCTATATAAATATTTAATTCGCTCGTCAGTAAAGTTTTTTTTAATTTATCATCTCGATATTTAATTTGCTCGTTAGTAGAGTCCCTTTTCCAATGTTCCTTCAAAAAATATATAATTTGCTCGTCAGTCCCTTTCTTAATTTTCATCTAAGCATTTTATTTTGCTTTTGCTCGTCAGTAATGTGTTTTCGTTTTAATTTGCTTGTCAGTAGAGTCCTTTTCTGATTTTCCACCTAAATATTTCACCTGTTTTATATTCTACTAGAATAATATACTTTACTCATCAGTAGAATTCTTTTCTACATTTTTATTCAGATATTTAGTTTGCTTGTCTGTAGAGTCCCTTTTCTGTCAAGATACTTAAGTTGATTGTCAGCAGAGTACTTTTCCAATTTTTATCAGAATATTTTAATATTTATGTCTTTTTATTCTAATTTGCCTGTCAGTAGAGTCCTTTTATTTTCACTTTGTTAGTCATTAGAGTCTCTTTCTCATTTTCTACATACATATTTCACTTTTATTTCCTACCAGAATAATTTACTTTGCTTGACAGTAGAGTAACATTTTTTAATTTTATATCTAGATATTGTATTTGCTGGCCAGTAGAGTTCTTTTTCTAATATTGTCTAGATATTTAGTTTGCTCGTTGGTACAGTTCTTTTTTCATTTTCTATACAAATATTTAGATCACTCGACAGTAGAGTCTCTTTTTTAATTATCTATTTTAACATTTATTTCGCTCGTAAGTGGAATTCTTTTGTTTTACTTTGCTCGTCAGTAGAATCACTTTTAATTTTTCCATCTAGTCAGTAAAACTCTTCATTTCTTACAGCTTTTTGTTACAGTTCATCAGTAATTTTTTTTAAATATTAGTTTGTTCGTCAGTAGAGTCCTTCGTCTAATTTTCCGACTAGATATTTAATTTGCTCGTCAGTAGAGTTCCTTACCACTTCCACTTTCAACAATAATAATAATAGTCACAATAATTTGCATAAATCTTTAGTTTTGAACTAGCCTTTACTTGTATAAATAAATGAAATGAAAGTTCAAACGTCAGTGACTCATATATACAATTATATATATATATATATATATATATATATATATATATATATATATAAATGTATATATATCCGTTAATTGCAAATGTTCACATAATAACTTTTACTTTCTTCCGGCATCACATGTGCTGCTTCATGTAATAATGTGCTGTGTGTCCGATACATAAATTATAATCGAAAATCTCTCCCGAATTGACATTTATTAACTTCCCGTAGGGCAAGTTATAGTAATCGCAAAAAAATCGAAAATGAAAATTTTTATATATCTTTACGTTTCAGAGGTTTCTGAACATTTTGGCATACCTTAGAAAAAATGGATGTATGTGTGTGTGTGTGTGTGTGTGTGTATGTGTGTGTGTATGTATGTATGTATGTATGTATGTGTGTGTATGTATGTGCGGATACAAATTTTCGTCGACGATTTCGGGAACACGGATCAACCGATTTGAATAATTCAAAAAACATTCGATCCGTATTGATAAGGAGACGTGCTGATTAGTTTTTGGCAAAGGCAGGTCAAGCCGTTCCGAAGATACGGGGCAAAAAGTTCCGAAAACGGTAACTCAGTTTTTAAGAGAACGGAGCGTCCGATTTCAATAATTCAAAAAACATTTTATTTGTATTGACAAGATGAAGAATCGATACAACTTTCATGAAGGTAGGTCTAGCGGTTTCGGAGATATGGAGAAAAAAGTAAAAAAATGAGCCATTTGGCGGTCAAAAATGATCATTAGACATATGTACATCAAATTATCAGATATTTTATAGAGATTTTAACAATAAGTATGCAATTTGTTAACATTCCTATGGGTTCCGTACCAATGCTTATGCGTTAGACAGCGACGCGGCGCTTACGCGCTTTATATTTTGTCCCTATGTAGTGAAGCAGTACGATTGCTTTGAAAAAAAGTTCAGATCTTCCACAATATGTCAAAATAAAGAAAAAAATTTTTTATTTCAAAAAAAAAAAAAATTAAAAAAAAAAATTTTTTTTAAAAAAAATTTTTTTAAAAAAATTTTTTTTTTTCAAAAAAAACTAATTTTTTGTCCAATTTATAGTTTCTCAAAAATCTTATTTTTTCAAAGTAATTTTTTTTCAAAAATGTTAATCGTTTTAAAAAAATAAAATAATTTTTGGTACGGGAAGTTCCAGCAATTTGCCTTAAGGCACGATGCCCTAATTGCCTTAAGACAGAATTCCACTTACAGCTAGTTATGACTGCCTTCGTGTTAGATAATCGGTTGTTAAATCTAGTGGAGTGCGGCAAGGATGCCGCGTGTTTCCCATTCAAGAGAGCGTGGTGTGAGGATTGGATGATATCGAGGTTGCAAAATAGGATAAACAGGATCGTTCGAGGGTTAAAGATGTGGAATAGATATGGAAAGTGATCAGAGACAATTTGCTCGTCAGTAGAGTCCTTTCCTGAAAAAAAAAACTCAATATTAATCTCGGATTTTAAAATCAATCAGTGAAGTAAGTTGTAATTCCAATTATGACAAATTTCGGTTTCAAATGAAAAATAGGACTCTACTAACAAGCAAACTAAAATTCGATCAAATGTTAGAAGAAGACTCTACTGACGAGTAAATCAATCAGACCTTGAAGTTAAAAAATGAACTCTACTGACAAGCAAAGCAAAAAATATTCAGATAAAATATGACAAAAAGACTCTACCGACAAGCAAAAAAATTTACAAAAAAACTACTGACGAGCAAATTAAATGAAATTAAATATCTAGACTGATAATTAGAAAAGGGACTCTTCTGACTGAAGTAGAATTTGAAATATCTGGATTAAAATTACAAAAGAACTCTACTAAAGAGCAAATTGAAATAAAAAGACTGTACTAACTAGCAATGTGTATTATTCTGAATTAAATTTGAAAAAAGACTACTGACGAGCAAATTAAATATCTAGACAGATAATTAGAAAGGGACTCTACTGACAAGCAAAGTAAAATAAAAGGACTCTACTGACGAGCAAAGCAACATACCTAGATAAGAATTAAAAAAAAATTCTACTGACTAGCAAATTAAAAGGACTGTACTAACTAACAAATTGAAATATCTGGATTAAAATTAAAAAAGGACTCTACTGACAAGCAAACCTAATATGTATATGAAAAATTAAAAAAAAGACTCTACTAACAAACAAAATGAAAAAGTTAAGGGACTCCACCAAGATTCTACTGATAAGCGAATTACATAGACCTTGACATAGATAAGAACCTTGACATTAAACATGGACTCCACTGACAAGCAAAGCAGAAAATATTCAATTTTTTTTTAAAAAAAATCTACTGACTAGTAAAATAAATATTTAGACACATAATTAGAAAGGGACTCTACTGACAAGCAAATTAAAATAAAAGGACTGCACTGACGAGCAAACTAATACATCTAGACATTTATCAGAAAGGAACTCTACTGACGAGCATTATGAAATAAAGACTTTGCTGACCTGCAAAGTGAGTTATCCTGGAAGAAAATTTAGAAAAATAAAATATTAAGATAGAAAACTGACTAAGGACTGACTAGCCTTAATATTTAGGTAAAAATCAGGAATGAACTCTACTGACGAGCAAAATAAAATATGATGTTTATTTAGGAAGAATACCAGAAAATGACTCTACTATCGAGCAATATAGAATTAAAACTTCACTGATAAACAAAATAAAGCATCTAGAAAAAAAATTTAGAAAAGAACTCTACTGACGAGCAGATCTGCTTCAAGTAGACAAGGGACTCTACTGACAAGCAATGTAAACTAAAAAAACTCTACTGACAAGCAACTTAAATATCTAGATAAAAAATTAGAAAATAAACTTTACTGCCGAAAAAGGTGAAATAACTAGATGGCAAATTGAGAAAAAAAACTCTACTTACGATCAAAGTAAAATAAAATTACTTTACTGACAAGAAAATTAAAATAAAAGAACTGCACTGACTAGCAAAATAAATATCTAGACAGATAATTAG